TCTAGACCCAATACCATAATAAAATCCCAATCTCAAAACCAGATTCACATCCAAAACTCACAATTCCAGAATCAAACCCAGCATCACATAACTCAGATCATCATAATCACAATAAATACAACATAGAGTCCCAATCCCTAAACTAAATTGGACACTAAACCGTCAAGAAAAATTACCAAGCGAAACCTCATCCACCAGTCTTTTCTGGGCTTCCCTCGTCGCCGGCAAAACCAGAGCATCGACGAATCTTTTTTCTCCTCTCCTCATCGTCGCCAGAGATCCTTGGCTGCCGACGACTGTGTTCTCCCTCCCTCGATCGCAATCAGAAAAATAAAACTAACTCACCTAGGTTGCAGTTATTCCCCTGCTGTCGACGGCGACACTCTTCTTCCTTTCGTTCCCGCTGCTTCCCTTCATCATGATCTGTTGAACTGCATGGAGTCTTCTTGTATATGTTAATTACTTTGAGGACCTTTTGGTTATTTGGTTATTTGTTGCTTAACCTAATTACCCTAGGCAACGTAGTAGACAGGGTATATTAGGTTGGCTGTTCGGCTTGGAGTTGTAAGTTTGGCAGCTCTTATTCTGCAAAAGACTAATAAGATAAACTGAGAGCTTCGGCTCTCCGTGGAGTAGTCTCGTTCACATCGAACGGGGAAACCACGTAAATCGCTGTGTTGTTCTTCCGCGTTCTAGAAAATTTTACATGGTATCAGAGCAGGTCGTGATCTCACTCTGAAGTTGCGACTATGACGATTGGAGAAGATGGTGGTTCGGCCGGCAAGAACGTCGTCACCGACGTTGAGACTATCGCGCTGACCTCGCCCCTTTATCTCCACCCTTCGGAGAATCCAAGCCAATTATTTGGGAGTGATCTCTTGACGGACTCCAACTACGGTGAGTGGGTTAACGATATGACCGAAACCCTAATCGCCAAGAACAAACTAGTTTTTGTTGATGGCAGTTTTCCTCGCTCCAAGGCCGGACCGGGGATCCGCGATGATGCTTGGGGGCTATGCGGCGCCACCGTAAAGGGGTGGTTGAAAACGGCCATGAGCAAGGAGGTGAGAAATAGTGTTCGTGTGGCTGAAACGGCACGGGATATCTGGGCTGACCTTCAACAAAGATTCGGCAAAGGCTCCGCGGACAGAGCTTATGAACTTCGCAGAACCATTGGGGCGCTGAGGCAGGAGAAGCAGTCGGTATCCAGTTTCTACACCAAACTTGTCACTTTCTGGGATGAGTTGCACTCCATGACTATTAATCATCGTTGCACCTGTGGTACGTGCACCTGTGATGTTGCACGACAGACGAGAGAAAAGGAAGAGACGGAGAGGCTCTTTGATTTTTTGCTCGGGTTGGATGACGCCTTCTCGGTGGTTCGATCGCAGATCGTGAGCATAAAGCCGACTCATTCGTTTGCCGAGGCCTACCAGCTGATGGCAGCTAAAGAACGGCAGCGCCAAATCACTAGCGGTCGACGTCCGCCAGTTGAGGCGGCTGCCTTTCAAGCTCGACGAGATAGGGAGATAGATGAGGAACCTGTACGCTGTAGTCACTGTAACAAGAAAGGGCACACGAAGGAAACTTGTTACAAGTTGATCGGGTATCCCATTGATCAAGGTAAAAGTCGGCAAGGAGAGCGTGGGAGTGAGGCTCGTCGTACTAAGCTCGACGTGAGGCAAACACGGGCTGCGGCTGTTGAAGCCGAAGACAGTCCGATCCCCGGATTGTCCGCTGCACAGTTTGCACAACTTAAGCAATTGCTCACACCTCCTGCTCCTCCGACCTCGGAACCCACTGCGCACATGGCTGGTAATTTTTCTGAACCTTCTGAGTGGGTCATTGATTCAGGTTGTAATGAGCACATTGTGCGCGATTCTCGTTGGTTAGATCGTTTAGACAGTGAAGACTCTTGTCCGCCTGTTCGCATTCTGGATGGGACGAGTGTGCCAGTATTGGGTGTAGGCTCGACTAGATTGAGTTCACAACTTCGGCTACACCGGGTTCTTTATGTTTCTAGTTTCAAGTGCAATTTATTGTCCGTGAGTCGTTTGACCAAAGACAATGCAGTGACCTTGACTTTTGTGGCTGATCGTTGCGTCATCCAGGACTCACGCTCCAAGACTACGATTGGACTGGGTCATCTCCGTGACGGGTTATATTATCTCAGACGGTTTGAGGATCGAAGGGAACGACTTGGGGACGTGGTGACCACGGGTTTCGCAGGAGCTACTAGCAAGGCCACGGTTGAGTTGTGGCATGCGAGATTAGGCCATCCGTCTGTTGAGAAGCTTCGACCCTTGCATACTTGTTTGTCTTTGTCGGATTGTGTTGATAAGACACAGAATTGTGATTCTTGTTTGCGTGCCAAACTGGCTAGGGAGCCTTTCGTTTCTCATTCGATTAAGACTCTTGCTTGTTTTGAGCTTGTTCACATGGATATTTGGGGAGGTTATCGAACCCCTGCTTTGGATGGATCACGTTATTTCTTAACGATAGTGGATGATTTTAGTCAAGCTACTTGGGTCTATTTACTGAAATTTAAGTCCGATGTCGAACGATATATTCGGTTTTTCTGTCAGATGGTACGGACTCAGTATAATGGACAGGTGCGTCGGATTCAGGCCGACAATGGGTTAGAATTTCAGACTACCGGGTTGCGGGAGTATTATGAGGAGAATGGCATCGTTCTTCAGACCTCATGCATAAATACACCGCAACAGAATGGGGTGGCAGAGCAGAAACATCGTCACCTTCTTGAGATGGCCAGGGCACTTCGCTTCCATTCAGGTTTGCTAGTTCGGTTTTGGGGTGACTGTATTCTCACTGCAACGTACCTCATCAGCCGCTTACCCTCTCGGCCTCTTGGAAATCGAACGCCTTTTGAGGTTTTACTTGGTCGCATTCCTCCATATCATCATCTTAGGAGTTTTGGGTGTCTTGTTTACATCAAGGACACAAGTCCGAATCTTGATAAGTTCATTGAAAGGGGGAGAACAGGTGTGTTTATTGGATATCCTGCAAGCCAAAAGGGGTATCGCGTGTATGACTTCAAGTCGCGGAAGGTAGTCACCTCGCGGGACGTCCGTTTCGTTGAAGATCACTTTCCTTAGTTTTGTCATCTCCATCTACACCCAACAACCTTCAGGCTTTTGACGTCCCAAAGACCACGAGTGAACGTCTTGATGTGCCCACCTCTCCACGTGAAGAAGAGGGTGTGCATGCTCTGCATGACTATTCGGCCGAGGATGCGTTGCATGTTGACCAGGCCACAACGTCTTCTACTTCTCCGCCAGTTCCTGGCGCGCCGCCCCTTCGTCGTGGTCTCCGTGAGAAGCACCCTCTGCGGCACTTGGTTGATATTTACGACACTGAGCTCCCAGGCTGCTCCTCTACAGCTTCCACGGTCACCTACCCTATGTTCAATCATGTCAGCTATCATCGCTTCTCTCCAGAGCATAAGGCTTACCTCACCGCCATTGCCAAAATTGAGGAACCTAGGCATTATTTGCATGCTATGAGAGATGCGCGCTGGCCTGAAGCGATGATGCGAGAGGTACGTGCTCTTATTGCTAATCACACTTGGGAGTTAACGTTCTTACCACCCGGCAAGAAAGCTATTGATGCTAAATGGGTGTTTAAGATAAAGTATTTTCTCGATGGCTCCATTGAGCGGTTCAAAGGACGCTTGGCAGCTAAGGGATTTACTCAGTTGGAAGGTATTGATTTTCATGACACTTTTGCGCTCGTTGCCAAGATTATTACAGTTCGTGTTCTCATTGCCTTTTGGTTATCTGGTTATTTGTTGCTTAACCTAATTACCCTAGGCAACGTAGTAGACAGGGTATATTAGGTTGGTTGTTCGGCTTGGAGTTATAAGTTTGGCAGCTCTTATTCTGCAAAAGACTAATAAGATAAACTGAGTTCTCGGCTCTCCGTGGAGTAGTCTCGTTCACATCGAACGGGGAAACCACGTAAATCATTGTGTTGTTCTTCCGCGTTCTAGCAGATTTTACATGATCGAAAACACCCAAAACCCCTATAAACTAAAATCACAAAAAAAAAAAAACACAATCAGAACCCAAAGCTATTACCAAAATCGAACCCCAAACTCGAAATGCAAGCCAAATAAACCACCAACCACCTTAGTCAGCCGACATCAATCTTAGTTGTTTCTCATCACCGCCGTCTGTCTTTTCATCTCTTATCTTAGGGTAGATCGAGAGGAAAGCGAGGGAAGGGGGAATGAGGATGCGAAGAAGGGGTTAATTTTGTTTCTGGTTTCAGAGGAAAGAAGACGAAGAGGAGAGAAAATAAATCGTTCTTCTTTTTCTTTTGGTTCGTTGATACTTGATAGCCAGATAGGAAGAGAGGGGCGACCATCTAGTGTGGCGAAGACAAAATGGATTAGGGTTCGGGTTTTTAAACATGTACCCAAATCGACTAAACTAGCTTTGTATTTTCCACAAAACCACCCTCTCTCAATTAGATTACCAAATTAATAATTGTAAATTAAGCTTCCCAATTAACTCTATACTTCAAACTTCAATACATAAATTATCTTTTTTAGTAGTAAGGGATAATTTTGTTATACATCACATTATGGATCCGTTAAAAACATATTAAATCTATCTCGGGGTTAATGGCATGGTTGGTCATTGAGATTACAAAAAACGTTTAAGTTTGGTCACTCGAAATATTTAAATCCATTGGTGGTACTTCACTTTAAAAAAATCGTTCACGTTTGGTACTCTCCGTTAGCTGCCGTCCATCTCCGTTAAATGAGTCCGTTAAGTGATGATGTGGCAGAAAAATTCGTATAATCAACACTATCTTCTAAACCTAACCAGCCCTCTAACCAAACCAGACCAGACCCGACCCGACCCACCAACCCAACTACCCACTAAGACTAAATCCCTAAATTGAAGAAAAATCAACACCTTCCCTTATCCCATGTCGTTGGTGCGGGGGTAGGGGACCATCGACTTCGGCCTTAAATGGAGGAGGTAAGATTCCGCCATTGGAGAGTTAGGTCTGCTACTGTTGGCACCTTCCAAAACCTTCACCATCTTCAGAAGCGAGAACCCGTATCGGAGGAAGATGTAGAGCGAGTTAGCCCCATGAGACAATCTCTGAACGAACGGGTTCTCGGAATCGGCGGTCAGAGTCTTGAGAACGAACTTGCCGTCGTCTCAAATCCCTAGCGACATGGAGCCGTCGGAGCTGTAAGGGCGCTTCTGATTCAACTTGAGCAACTCGATGAAGTTAACGGTGTGTAAATTCTTAGGATGGAGGATTGAAGTGCCAGCCTCGAATGTATCTCTGCTGATAGTGACGGTGGACATTCTTCCGCCGATGACCTAGTGCCGCTCGAACATCCAAATCCAGAGAGTTGACTCATCAACCGCCACGGCATCAGTGGATTATCGGCGAAGAAATTAGAGTGGGAGGATCCGCCGATGCTTCTGCTGACGATGGCCGCCTTCCTCCGCACTGGCGATAGGGGAGAAGGGGAAGGTGTTGATTTTTCTTCAATTTAGGGATTTAATCTTGGTGGGTAGTTGGGTTGGTGGGTCAGGTCGGGTCAGGTCTAGTATGGTTAGAGGGTTTGGTAGGTTTAGATGAGTTGGTGGGTTTCAATGATGTGGCGAGTCGGGTCAGACTATTTTATGGTTAAATAGTGCTGATTAGACGATTTCTTCTGCCACGTCATCATTTAAAGGACTCTTTTAACGGAGATGGACGACAGCTAACTGAGAGTGACCAAACGTGAACTTTTTTTGTGAAGTGAAGTACCACCAATGGATTTAAATATTTCGAGTGACCAAACTTGAACGGTTTTTGAAATCTCAGTGACCAACCATGCCATTAACCCCGAGATAGATTTAATATGTTTTTAACGGATCCATAATGTGATGTATAACAAAATTATCCCTTTCTACTAAAAAAGATAATTTATGTATTGAAGTTTGAAGTATAGAGTTAATTGGGAAGCTTAATTTACAATTATTAATTTGGTAATCAAATTGACAGACGGTGGTTTTGTGGAAAATACAAAGCTAGTTTAGTCGATTTTTTGGAGCAAAAACAAAGTTTTAGAGAGAGAAAGTCCGAAGAACAAACCCTAGGAGCTATTTGGAGTGGATTTCTCACCATTGAAGCCCAGATTGCATTCCCAAGAGTGAAGATTGACATACTAGAGCAGATTCTTCCCATTGTTATGAGTATGACTGCTTTGTATTTTGTTTCCCTCTCTCTCTATGGAGTAGAACTCTCTCTCACTTGGGTATGAAGAACCCTAGTTCCATGTGTTAGGAATCTTGATTGTAATTACGTTTGGATTGTGATATTGCTTGATTATAATCGATTGAAGTGTTTTGATTGAGTCAATTGAAGTCTGATCATCTTCTATTGATTTCTGCTGCAACCTGAGATAGATAGAATCTGATTAGGTTGTTAGAGCCTCTTCAATCGGTAGTCGTGAATCGATTATACGAGAGTTAGTCGATTCACTGCTTTGTACTAGAATCTAATTCCAGTCGTGGAGTTCTATGTTCATTGCCTCAGCGTTCTATCCCGGTGAAGACTAGTCGTCTGCCGGATAGTTTGACTGAGAGGGCTTGGTCAGCTTAAGAGATTCCAAGCTACTGTCGGATCTTCCTCAGTATAATCAGCTGTAAAGCAACCTTAAGTAATTACAACTGTGACCTAACTAAGGAACTAGGGGGACTCATTCCCGAATGACTCTTCCTTTGCTTTAGAAAATCGAACCATTTCTTGCTTTCTTACTGCTTTTACTTAAATCAACAATCAATCGACTTAGTTTGCTAGATAACAAATATACACGGAGTAGGCAATAGATCTAGACCCCGGGTTGACAATTAGAGCTTGCCTGTTACTGTATTTCCGGACTGCGATTACTCTTGGTTGCAGTTTGGTGTTGTGTTTTAGCGTGTCAAGTTTTTGGCGCCGTTGCCGGGGACCCTCTAGGTTATTGGAGAAACGTGAAAGTTTGTTACTCTAGCTTTTTCTTTACTGCATTTTCTCTCTTCCACCTGTGTGCCTTCATGGGTTGCTTTTGCTGATTGTGTGCAGGTAGTGCATGACCCGTAGCTAGTCGGGAGATTTATTACCATTATACCAGGAGCTTGAACGGACCTGTAGGAACTTCCAGCAGGCTCTAAAGGCGCGACTGGCTGCGGAGGAGGCTCTAGCACAACTACAAATCGCCGACGAAGAAGAGATGGGTGACCCACAGGACCATGACGTGGTCCTTCCGAGGAGCAGACCATGGGATATTACTGGAACGCCAGAGCCGCGGACATGAGGTCGCCCATTCAGCACCATCATGTACCAGCGAATAACTTTGAGGTGAGCACCTCTGTCATCACCATGTTGCGTGGTTCGGTAGTATTCCGTGGCAAAGAGAGGGAGCGCCCCCGATCACATCTGAAGCGATTCCACGAGCTCATCGATGGAATCAAGAGAAATGGGGTCCTAGCTGATGCCATCCAGCTGAGGTACTTCCCATTCACTTTGGAGGGGCAGGCCAAGGAGTGGCTAGACCCTCGACCTCCAGGCTCGATCACCACGTTCGCCAACTGGCGGACAAGTTCCTCTCTCGCTACGATCCTCCGTCCAAGACGACGGACCTGTAAAAACAAATTACCCACTTTGCTCAAGACGAAGAAGAGACCATTCGGGATGCTTGGGAGAGATACACCAGTCTCTTCCTCAAGTGTCCCAACCATGGTTTTACTGATGCCTTCAAGGTGGGAACCGTCTACCATCCCTTTTCCCGGAGGACTAGCAGCTGATTGACTCGGTCTGTGGCGGGAATATGCTCACCAAAACACCGCCACAGCCGAATCAACTTTTTGAGGAGATGGCAGAGCAGGGCTATGATTGGTGAACTGCAAGGAGATCGAGACGAGCACCAGGGCGGGGTGTGCATGCTGTAGCCACCCACTCTTCTGATTTGGTGCAGGTTGTGTCTAAGCTGGTCTCAGCCATCGATCGGAATGGGATGGTTTCGGGGACAGGGCAGCAATCGTCAATGGGTTGCCAGTGGTGCGAGAGCGCCCATCATACTGTAGAGGACTGCCAGGCCATGCGTGAGTCCAGTACACCCCAGGAGCAGGTGAACTTCATCAACAATATCCGGCGCAACGATCCATACAGTAACACCTACAATGAGGGATGGCGCCAGCATCCAAATTTCTCCTGGAGTGGCAACAGCAATTCGAAGCCACCTGGCTTCCAAGCTCCTGCAGCTAGTTTTCCGAACTAGAGGCAGCCATACCAGCCTCGTCCAGGCCAGATGCAGCAACATCAACCACTTTATCAGCCTAGACAGGGGCAGGCTTTTCAACAGCCCCCACACAACAGTACCAGCAGCGTGGTGCATCTCCATCATTCCCAGCACCGGGCGACCCCGTGTCCGAACTGAGGGATCTAGTGACTACCTTGGCGAGCACTAGTACCCAAAAGTTCAATAAATTGGAGCAATTCATTGAAGTGGCTGCAGGCAAATTCATGGAGATTGAAGCTGGCCAGAGAAACCAGCAGGCACTCCTGCAGGATATGGACACCAAGATCGGGCACCTGGCAGATGCCCTTGCTTCCAGACCGGCTGGCACACTTCCTGGCCAACCCCTACCGAATCCCAGAAATCATAAGGAGGGGTTGCACGCCATTATGTTGAGAAGTGGGACAGTGACTGCGGATGCACCGCAGCAGAGTGCTAAGAAGGTGACCCAGATCACCCCAGAGCCGGAAGAAGACCTGGTGATGGGAAAGGAGCCAGAGGATCAAGCTCCAGAGCCACTATCAGTAGTGGCTGAATATAAGCCTAAGCTCGCTTTTCCCACCAGGATTTACAAAGACAGGCTAGAGGCATAGTTTGGCAACTTCTCGTCCATGCTTAGGAAGCTGCATGTTCAAGTGCCCTTCATGGAGGCACTATCTCTGATACCTAAGTACGCGAAGTTCCTGAAGGAGCTTCTCTCAAAGAAGCGGAGGCTGAGTGAGCTGGCCACTGTGGAGCTCAACGAAGAGTGCTCGGCCATTCTTCAGAACAAGCTTCCGCAGAAGCAGAAGGATCCATGTAGTTTTACTATCCCGTGCTCTATAGGTAAATTGCATGTAGAGAGGTCCTTAGAGGATGTAGGTGCTAGTATTAATGTGATACCATATAAATTGTTCAAGAAACTAGGCCTAGGTGAACCCAATGCAACTAGAATGAGTATCCAACTAGCTGACCGATCTATAGTTCATCCTAGGGGCATAGTGGAAGACCTTCTGGTTAAGGTTGGCAGATTCTTTTATCCTGTGGATGTTTTTTGTCCTGGACATCAATGAAGACACAGAAGTGCCCCTTATACTAGGAAGGCCTTTCCTGGCCACCGCCAAGGCTCTCATAGATGTACATGATGGGACCTTAGTCTTGAGGGATGGCTAGGAGCGAATAACATTTTCCATTGCTAATACTCACCCTGCTTCATCGCCTTTGCATGTTGTTTCTCACCAGGAGCACGACTCTGTCGTGTATCCTTCTGTGCTCTCCATTTTGCAGGAACCCCCTTCCATACCTTCGCCGCCACCCCCGTCCACCCCGTCATCAATGGAAAAGATCAAGGAGGAGTGGCAGCCGAAACTGCAGGTAGCTAAGCCTGCTGAAAAGGAAGCAGGAGAACACTATGAGCTGGTCCCGGTTCCTGAGCCTCGACCGCCTTGGCCATCCGAGTATTCACTTGCTTGCATCCTGCCGGATGGCCAGGTCGAGTTGACGAGTGCTGGTGGTCACACTCGTCGTGTACATGGCCGCCATCTGAAGCTGTACCTCAAGAGCAATGTGGATCCGCTCTTGAAGGCACCTGCTCCTACACCTCTCTGAGCATCCACCTACTGGCGTCCAGCTAAAAGACGGTAAAGAAGCGCTTGTGGGGAGGCAACCCCACCAAGGTTTGTTTTTCTTTCGTTTGTTTTTCGGTTTGTCTACTTGGAACTCTAGTTCTTTCACCCAGTGTGTGTCTTTTGATGACTTTAGCTCTATGCATTGGACTGGTCCCCCTTCTAGTCCCTTGCTGTTGACTGGTCTGCCTTCCAGTCCCCGTCCCTGATCTTCATTTCACGGTAACATCGTTACCCTTCCCTCTGCTCCATTGAGGACACTGTCGCATTTAAGTGTGTGTGTGTGTGGGGGGGGGGGGGGTTTCTTTGTAGTCATTGGAACATATATATGTGTGCTTGGAGCCTAGTTTGCTGTCCAAATCTCGAGATTTGAGGGCTCCAAGTATTGTTGTTTGCTTGATCGTATTGGCACTGTGGATTCGATAGGTGAATCGAATGGCTTTCGAATGAATGCATGACAAGTTGATTGTAACTAGGAAAACCTATAATGATGACTGAGACGTGCAGTAGAATTGTGTAGGGGTTCAGTTTTTCAAATGTTTGCTTACCAACTGTGACTTGGATTGATCACTTGCTCTTGACATTCGTTTATGCATCTAGTTCAGGGAATCAGAATGAGAGATAGAGCATATAGGTAGCCATGTGAGATTTGAGCATGCTCGTTTCTTTCTTGTGCGATAGATCCCTCTTCCATGATGTGTAGCATTCACGTTGTCACTAGCTAAGATGATGGATGCATAGGATTAGCCCACGACCATATAGACTGTCCTGGTGTGTCATACCCCCTAGTCAGCCCCTTTGAGCCGTGTCACTTTGTTTCTTTCGGTCTACAATGAAAAATCACCCGTTTGCAAAGTAGTTTTTGCTCGTTCTCTATTGTTCCTGCTACAAATAATGTGAGGGTTGGAGGTAGTGCTTAAAGGTTGGGCATGTGTTTGAAAAATGTGCAGAGGTAGTGGTTCTCTCAAGAAATGAAAAAAAAAGAATAAAAAAAATGAATGAAAGCAAAAGAGAGCCACTACCAAAAATCTGAATCATGCTCATTAAGTAGTGTTTCTTAGCAGTGTGGCTTAGAAATATTAACATTATTGTGACCTCCTTCGCTCTTGTGCTCTAAAGAATATGCAGAATGGCAGAAAGAAAGTAAGTGGTTTGATTGGCTGTGAATGTGTTGGGTTTGGAATTGTGGAACCTTGTGCTATGAATACTTCCACCACCTATAAGGCCTTTTCCCCATGTCCAAGATCCTAGCCAGTCATTTGAACCTGTGTCTAAGACCTCCTGATTAGTTAGTGGTGACATCCCTTATGTGAACTCTAACATTTAGAGGCTGCCGTCATGGTGAAGAGACGTTAGGGATTGAGAGAATAACCATGCGCATTTTTTGCATCAAATTATCCTGACCCCACTGGTCAAGAGTGCGCATTTTTTGCATCAAATTATCCTGACCCCGGTGAGGACCTAGATGGCTCGGTCTTGATTCTGATGTCTTGAGTTTTATGCATGAAGTGACTGTCTTAAATAAGTGGTTGAGTCAAGTCTATGTTGGTTGGTGAACAGAAGGGAGACTCTTCCTTTGCTCGACTTTGCTGCATTCGAATGTCATCTGTGGTGGTTGTCTAGGTTGTCTTTGAGGTTGTCCATGTGTTAATGATCAAAAGCCAGTATGACTCACGTGTTTTGTGCCGATATGATATGTCCCTAAAGCATGCTTGATTAAAATGTTTTGAGCTTACCTTGTGTCTGACTTGGTTTGCTTAGGGACAAGCAAACGGTTAAGTGTGGGGGAATTTGATAACGATGTGTTTGCACATGTTTGCACCCTTAGTTCTTATCCGTTTGCTGCTAGTAGTCGTGTATTTTTGGCTCGTTTTACGCTGGGTTGTGCTACTTTGTCATATTTCAGGTCCCAGACGTCGAAGGAAAGGCTAAGCACGAGATTCGGGGCGTTTGGAGGTCATTCGATCGAGCTGGGGGCAAAACACGGGCAGGAGGCCAAAAGAACACGGCCGTGTACACAAACAAGCACGCCAGTGTTTTTATGTGCGAGAGCTGAACTTATGGAAAAGCAAAACACAGGCTGACCTAAAGAAAAACACGGTCGTGTCCATATTTAGGCACGATCGTGTTTTGGCCGACGCGGGCGTGTTTTTAACACGTGGCAAGGGCACAGACGGGCAAAAGCAAAACACGGCCGTGCCCTCGACCGCGTTTTGCCCAGAATCGGGTTTTTGAGGCAGATTCGAGCCAAAGGAGAGGGAGTCAACTTTTTGGAGCAAAAACAGAGTTTTAGAGAGAGAAAGTGCGAAGAACAAACCCTAGGAGCTATTTTGAGTGGATTTCTCGCCATTGAAGCCCAGATTGCATCCCCAGGAGTAAAGATTGACATACCAGAGCAGATTCTTCCCATTGTTATGAGTATCACTGCTTTGTATTCTGTTTCCCTCTCTCTCTCTATGGAGTACAAATCTCTCTCACTTGGGTATGAAGAACCCTAGTTCCATGTGTTAGGAATCTTGATTGTAATTACGTTTGGATTGTAATATTGCTTGATTATAATCGATTGAAGTATTTTGATTGAGTTAATTGAAGTCTGATCATTTTTTATTGATTTTTGCTGCTGAAACACACTAACCCGTCCGGGTACTACTTTTACTAAAATGCCCTTGTTAAACAAAATACTCAAATCTTAAATTGCAGCGGGAAAAATTCTCATAAATAAAATACTTAAAACACACACTTGAAGCTCAGAGCAAAGCCCTAACACGTGGGCAAATTAAACTCAAACTTTAAAATCTCAATCTGATCTCCAGTCTATACTCATAATCTTAAATGTAAATAACTGATAATCTCTAATGTTATTGCTACTGAAACCTTGGCTAAGAATCCTTTGTGACGCTTATACTGCCCTCCTCTAGCTGGCTGCCCTTGAACTTTTCCTCTCGAACTCGCTGCTCTCTAACTGCTCCTCTAGCTAGCTGCTACTGAACTGGTTCTCGCTCATTCCCTTACTAAGGCCTAGTGAGTGAGGTGGGGTCAGTCTACGCCCTTACGTTTTAAACTTTCTAATAATTTTGCACTTCTTCTCAAACACTTAAACTCAAACTGAGGGAAGTTGTTTGTACTTCCATTCTTAAAAATCTTAACTCTTAAAACTGTATGGGAGTACCGGTTACTCTCCATTCTTAAAGCTTAATTCTCAACTTAAATACTTGACTGACACTGGGATCCCCCACTAGCTAGTCCGGTTGCCAACTCATACGTATGAGAAGTCATCAAGGCTTTCCTTAGACTTAAACTTAGTTAGGGAAGTCGTAACGATTCATCCCCCTAACATCTTAAACTTATCGTGGTGGCTCTTCACCACGATTCTCAAGAGCATAACTTCTGCTCATCTTAAAAGTCTCAAGAGCATAACTGCTGCTCTGTCTCAAAGATCTCAAGAGCATAACTACTGCTCTATCTGAAAATCTCAAATGGCAACGGACTGGTGCTAGTGACTAAAAACACTTAAAACGACTTCACCTTCTTGAAGATGAGTTACTGTTTAAAAAGAACTTGTTTCTTAAACTTTAACAATAACTCAAACATAACGCTTTAAGGTAAATAGCACAAAATCACCTCATATCACCTCAAATAGCACAAAATCACCTCAAATCATAGCTCAAGAAAAGCACAAATAATCAATCATAAACATAACCAAGCAACGGTAACCAATTCGCTAAAATACTTAAAATCATAATACTTAAAAGAATACGTAAGGCGTAGAATTTACCCCTTTTATACTCACCTCAAAAAGACGACTCCTCAATGTAAGAGTGCTTGTCCCTGGTTACTTCATCTCTCTTTCTTAACCTCCTCAGCCACGTGCATGAGCAAGCCTTCAATCAAAATTCCTACTTTTGTGCCGCCGCTTGATCAAAATAATAATAATGACTCATGATGTCCCTCGAGTCCCCTTTCTCCATTATCCAACCGTCCAAGCCTGCATTGCAGCTTGCAGGTACGGAAATCACCATATTGGCAGGCTAATTCGTGGAGGCTCTCACTCGTCCCATCACCGTGGAAGTAGGGTCCAATTAATTCCGGGTTTCCACCATCACCTCTTTCCCCCTCTCAATATCTCGGTCCACATAAATCCGAGTGAATCCCATTTAATTCCACTGGTACCAACCCTCTCGACCCCAGCCGCCAATATCTCGCCTCGCTTTATTGTTATTCGCCTGCCTCACCTGCTTGCTTGAATGGTCCTGCTTGATTTAAGCTAGCACCTCTCGCCTTGTCATTCGTTTGAATGGTCCTGCTTGCTTAAGCTAGCACCTGCCATCATTCATCTGCCTCGCCAAGTTTTGCTTAGATGGTCCTGCCTGCTTGCTTAAGGTAGCACCTCTCGTGGTAGAGGGAGATAGCGCCGCTTGCTTTGCTGAGTGCAAGCAGGCTGGTCCAAGCTGTTTCTAAGCAAGCACCTGGCGTAGTAGAGAGTTGCAGCAACCAGGCACGTCCGATACTAGCTGGCCCCTTGGGAGGCAGGTCGCCGCCGCAACTATCTTCTCGTAGTAGCTGAGGAAAGCAGGCCCCACGTCGATGGCGCTGCGTCCCTTGCTCTCGTGGTGGCAGAGCGAGCAAACTGCTCTCATAGTAGGCAGCCCGATCCCGCCGCCGCCTCGCAAGCAAGAGCGGGCCGGCGTCTCCCGTGACACCGCAGCACAGCAGTTCCTTGATGCGCCGCTGCTGACTCGGATTTCCCGAGAGCAAGCCCTGCATCGCCCGCTTCCCCTCATGGCGGAGATGGCAATTGAGACGAGACTTCTTTTGCTCTCCCTCCCTCATCCAAGCTGCTTTCGGAGAAGTAAGCGCTGCTGAGGGTTTTGCTATTTCGGCTGAGGCCGAGTAAACTTTAGGGGGTAATTATTCAGGGTATTTTTTTAAATAATAATAATAATAACAATTATGTTGTTATTATTATTATTCCTAGCCCGCGATTGTAATCCTTCGTACGTAACCGTTCACGTATTTTGGTTGAACCTGAACCCAAACTTCGGGGTGTTACAGCTACAACCTGAGATAGATAGAATCTGATTAGGTTGTTAGAGCCTCTTCAATCGGTAGTAGTGAATCGATTATACGAGAGTTAGTCGATTCACTGCTTTGTACTGGAATCTAATTCCAGTAGTGGAGTTATGTGTTCATTGGCTCAGCGTTCTATCCCGGTGAAGACTAGTCGTCTGCCGGGTAGTTTGACTGAGAGGGCTTGGTCAGCTTAAGAAATTCCAAGCTACTGTCGGATCTTCCGCAGTATAATCAGCAGTAAAGCAACCTTAAGTAATTACAACTGTGACCTAACTAAGGAACTAGGGGGACTAATTCCCGAGTGACTCTTCCTTTGCTCTAGAAAACCGAACCATTTCCTGCTTTCTTACTGCTTTTACTTAAATCAACAATCAATCGACTTAGTTTGCTAGATAACAAATATACACGGAGTAGGCAGTAGATCTAGACCCCGGGTTGACAATTAGAGCTTGCCTGTTACTGCATTTCCGGACTGCGATTACACTTGGTCGCAGTTTGGTGTTGTGTTTTAGCGTGTCAGTAGGCAACCAATAGGTTTAAGTACAACTTAAAAGAAACACTCTTTCTTCACTTTGGAGAATTACGTCATTAGACGTATGATCAAATTGTAATAACAAAAACACAATTAATTGAATCATATAATTAAATGCATAAATAATGTGCAAATTATAATACACCCAACCCTTAAAAACTTATCGGTCTAAGTAGTACCAATTTTTGGGCATTGTGGAGTGTGAATACACTTGCCCACACGTAACCGTACTCTCGAACTCAAATTGCTAAAATTTCGTAGACCAAATTCCGGTCTCGATCCTAAGGTCGAGATCGGTCCAATAGGTGTTCGATCCACCACAATTAAGGTCGATGACAACTCCGAGCGTGACGTGATGGGTCCCCCAATCTCGAGGGCGGTTGCGAAAGTCATAATCGTCATCAATAGCAGCCCAGGAGACATTGATCCCATTGTCATCCTTCCATCTCATAATCAATCAACGCCGCCGGCCGTAACTCTAGTCGCAGCGGCTGGTTGCCGCGGGACGAGCAAAAGAAGAGAAGTAGAAACGGCTCGGCAAAGTAACCCTAATGGAGACGCTCATAGAGACCCTACCACTCTTCCCTTTTGGGCCTCGTCCCAATAGTCACAACTCAGGCCCAGTCGTCCTCGTCAAGTGCTTGAAGTCCTCGTCAAGTGCAGCAATCTCCAGCTAAGTTCTCATAATATAGTAACTCAAGGCTATCACCACTTCCCGTCTTGGAAGTCGCTTTATAGAAGCACGAGTATACGTGTGGTGATTGGTTAATTTGGGTGTTTTTTATATTAACCCCTTCTATGACGTTGCAGCAAGGTCAACAATTGATTGTCCACTTACTCAATTGGAATCCTCTGGAACTCCATAGCCTTTAGTCCCTTATGATCATCTCTATAATTTCCCTTCAACTTGTCTCGTCCAAAATAACACCCTGGCGTTTTGCCTCCCAACTTAGTGCTACACTTCGGTTGTAGTTATGTAGGCAAGGAAGCATAAACTTTCGCTCTTTCCACCAACTTGGATAAGTTCTGTGCCGTTTGGTAAAAAAAATATATGGCAGAACGGTTGGTCAGAGTTTGATTGCCTATTGCAGCTGCATCATTGTGTTCAATCCAGATTATGTGTCTAGCTGGACTTCCGTAATTTGGCTTTCATCTTGAATCTAGTCCGGTCTTCACCAGCCAATTGCACCCAGGGTGTTTTGTCGAGAAGTATAGTCCTCCTTGCGACCAGGTCATCGTTATCAAGGTCATATAGGAAAAACAAATCTTCAGCAAGCTCAAGTCATAAAGTTGGAGATAATAACGACACAAGTATTGGTGTCGCTTCAGTAATCGGTGTTGGAGAAAAGAAAGGTTTTGACACGAAAACAAGTCAATCTGCGAGGCAGTCACGATCAAAGAAGCGATCCTCCCCTTGGTGTTCGAAATCTATCATTTTTTTCAGTGTTCATCATTCTAACTTTCAAACTGTGCATTCATTACGTTCATGCTTCAGCTTGAGGGGGAGAAATAGGGCGTCAAGTCGTTTAGGAGATGCAGTCAGCCATCTCCACCATACCATATCATACAGATAGACGCAATCAATCGTCTCCGTCAAGTAAGTCATTTAAGAAACGCAATCAGCCGTCTACGTCACGATGTTCAAGAAGATGCAGTCAACCATCATCATCAAGTTGTTCAGAGAGAGAGAGAGAGAGTAATTCATCTCCAATTAACCTTGTCCGAGATGTTATTCATCTCGAGTTTTATTGTTCAAGCTTGTCATGCTTGATCATCACATTTCCTTTTTGAAGCTCAACAATCTTGTCATTCATATCTTCGCTCGAGGGGGAATGTTATTGATATTAATTACTTAGTCAAAAGTAATTAATTACTTGTCCTCCAAGTCCCTTGTTTCCTTGTCCATGTAAAAGAAGGAAACTGGGTTGTCATTAGGGTTTTAACCCTACATCTATATCTATATAAGCTTAGCTACGAACCTGTCGTAAGCAAGCCGTCAAAATGTAGTTGTTCAATAAATGTCAGCCGTGAGCTCTTCCGAGCTCATTGTGGATTAGTCTCGATCAATCGATCGAGGATACCACGTAAAATCCGGTGTGTCTTATTTCTTTCGATTCCACATTATCAAATTATACAAAAAGGTCTCAAAGACTACCTACAAATAAAAGGGGAATTGTGTACAAGCCGCAAAGTCTTCGTGAGGCATCAACAAGTTTTTGTTAGAAATCTAACAAAAGAAATAAGGGTTATCAAAACTGACTAATAAGTGCATTTGGTCGCTCTCTTTAAAACATTCAGAATACTGTTTTGATTGCGCATAACAGACTATCAGTCGATTATCACTATTGCTTACTCTCGGCTTTTGTTAGTAGGAGGTCTAGGGAGTCGACTATACATAGGAGCAGAGAACCATCGAATATTCCCTCTTTCATGGGGAATCAGTCATGTTTATATCGTAAAATAATTACTCCTGTAACTAAACGCTCTCTAATGAGATAATTGATTCGGATTATCTCCCGAATGTTCCAGTCTCAAGCCAACCAATCTAATCCACTCAGTCGACCGACTGGCCGTACGGATTAGGTCCTCCCTCCCTCACAAAAGTGGTCACCCTATGAGATATACCCCTAAAAGAGAGAAACATATTCTTATATACAATTTGAAAGGCCTAATTCCACAATGTAGTATTTGAGTTTGAGACTCCACTATAGCTTCAAAAGCTATTCATCATTTCCAACAATCCCTGACTTGAATGAGTTTGAAACTATCCTTGAGCATCAAGAATCATATATAAGATATGGGATAAACTAGTTATCTATCAATTTGTATCTTAGTGTAGTGGTTACACTTCAGATTCAATGAGAGTGTCTCGTAGTCTGGAGTTCATTATCTAACAATGTTGCGCGGAGGATCTTTTCAGACGGTTATTCTCTAACAACTCGTGCATTTATGGCCCTGCATGTCTATCTCGGCTTAGTGAACGCTTTAGAAATTTTGTGCCTTCAAAATTACATAAGAAGTGGTCCCACTTCCACATTCATATAGGTGAGTATCAGAAGTACTCTCAAAGCAACGTACTTCACTCTACATGGATTATAGATCACATTAAGAGTTATCATAGCCTCAACCTCTATAAGCTTCACGAATTAATGCTTCACTATGCATGATCTATCTGATATTACACACAACTTGTTATATCTCATTGAACCCATTTCTTGAGATCTCTAGTATATGGGTCGGGTTACCATCATATGTAATTCATCATTCTACAGGTACAGGCATATGTCCCATATGCTTCGGTGTATTGATGACAAAAAAGACGATCATTATTGATGACAAGTTTTTTTTCGTTGAAAGTAAAATTATGTAAGAAATGGGTTTTATCGACAACGTATGGTTGTCATAAAAAAGTCTCGTTAGCGATAATAATATGCGTCAGTACTAGGTTATTACTAATGCGATGTTATTGTCAGTACAAGAAAAAAACAACGTCAATAATGTAGACTTTCACGACAAAGAATGATGACAAAACACTTTACTAACGAATTGAAGCTTCTCTTGTGTTGCTCTGCCGTCTTAAAAAATACATAATTTTTGACAAACCGTATTATTGACAATCCACAGTTGGGAATCATATTATTTTGAAGAACCACATTATTTTTATGACATTAGTAGTAAATAGAGCATCTTTAACGCCTCGTTACAAGTGCTAAATAAAAAAAATATGCCTCGTCGTAATTACTATGAAACCTGATATTTCAAATCAATTTGTAATAGTAACTAAATAAATTACATTTATAATTACGCCACTAAATAAAACTACAAATACAATGCTATAACATAATAATAATAATGTAAATAACTATTACATTTCATGTAAAAATAAAACACAACGGTAAAAAAAAATAAGGGCCTTATCTAAATAACTATTACCAACAATCTATCTGTTGTCTCCTGATAAGTGTCATACATATACGTGCATTTGATTGTCATTTGATGATTTAATGTGTGTTTTATGGTGAAAATGGCGTGAATTTGGTTCGAATTAACTATGGAATGACTTTGTGTCATTATCAAGTGTGTGGTGTGTTTTTTTTTTTTGCCATTTTTAGTGCTATTTCTACAAAAAAATGAGTGCAGAGGCAGAATTGAATTGCAGAGGCAAAGCAGGAATTTGCAGAGGCATTGATAAGTTGCAAAGTATTCGCACTCCAACCTAATGGGCCGGTTCACCAAACCATTTTCATTAATACAGAAGAAAGATAAGCAG